TTTTCCCCTATTGAGGTTTTTTTTTCAATCCGCTTTCATACTGAGTGGTGTTGTAGTATACAACAGTGTAGTGAGCATCGCGGAATTGTAATTGCCGCTCAATCGTTCGAGAAAGGAAGCAGTCATTTCCGGCCGAGTCCGGCAGATGAGCTGTACATCTCTAACCAACAAGTTTCATCGCATCACGAAACGGCAAAATCAAGGTCATCGAGTTCACCAGCCGGCGAGCCAGCCGGTACTTTGTTGCAAACACTCGAGGGCAACAATAGAACGATCATCACCATCATTCTCACATCAGGATAGATCATCGTCATCAGCCACACTCCGTGCGCTTGTATGGAGAGTTAAGTAACAAACGGTTATCTTCCGTTCTCCGCAACCTGATTAATCTCCATACAGTGTTGATTAACTTTTCTGACACCTTTTTGTTTTTTCCTGAAAAAGTTTTAATTTTTTTTTCTTTTTTTTTTCATTTACTGTTTTTTTTTTGCAAGTTGATTAATCTCCCTAAAGTGTTGATTAACTTTCCTGGCACTTTTTTTTCCATTTTAAAGGTTTTTTTTTGCTTTGTTGGATTAAGTATTATTTTTACCGTTATATTTTTTGGAGAAGTTTATTTTTTTCCTTTTTTTTTATTTATTATTTTTTTTCTCAACGCATATATATACAGGGTGTTTGGTTCCGGGTTTTACATATTTTCAGGGTAGATAGGGCTCCTAAAGTTATGAAAAAATCCCCATGAAACATACGGTCGGAAATGACTGCTAAGTGAGTTATTCAACATTTTATGTTTTTTGTATTGCCAACTTTGGTTAGCTATATTTTTTTAATCTTAATATGGTTTACTGATTTCAACATACTAAATGAAAGATTAAAGTCTTAGCTATCAATGCTCTTTGAAAAAGAACTCGATTAAAGTTAATTATCATACATTAAAATTGAAAAGTATATTGATAGTACCAAAAAAATTGGTGAAATTTCATACATTTTAGTGTTTTTAAGTTGAAAATTTTCATTTCTGTTTATTTTGTTCTTCTACAAAACATTTTCCATGCAGTTCCCTAGATTTGTGCCTTTGTTAGTAACCTTGTAGGCTTTATGGTTTCTTCGTAATTATTGATTTAAAACAGCCATAAAAACTTGTGACGTTTTCATAAAATGCGCTATAGTCACCCTATTCGTTCGTACGTTCGGCTGTTGCAGTGGACTACGTACATGAAAATTTGGTAAAATGTTATTGTAAATGTTTAGCTACATTCTTAACTTTTGATTACTGTACATCTCCTGCGCCGAAAGAAAGCATTACTGCGGAGATGTTCCGCGGTATCGAATATTGCTCAGTCTCAGCAGAAAACACAACGAGAGACACCGAATCAGCGAATAATAACGTGTAATGATGAAAAATAAAAAAAAAATCGATTTTATCCAATCTTAACGAATAACAGTCATTTGAATTTTAACCGAGTCAGTAATCCAAAAATCCAGTAAAAATACTAACTCCTGTAAAAAATCTAAGTGTGTATACAGAAGCAGTGGAGCTCCACACTCCTCCATCGAAACAGCACCGCAGCTGAGCTGCGAGTGCTATGAAATTAAAAGGACATCGACTTATTACCACTACCTACTTCTCTCCCTTCCGCTCACAGAATTCGCTGATTCGGTGTCTCTCGTTGTGTTTTCTGCTGAGACTGAGCAATATTCGATACCGCGAAACATCTCCGCAGTTATGTTTTCTTTCGGCGCAGGAAATGTGCGGTAATCAAAAGTTAAAAATGTAGCTAAACATTTACAATAACATTCTACCAAATTTTCATGTACGTAGTCCACTGCAACAGCCGAACGTACGAACGAATAGGGTGACTATAGCGCATTTTATGAAAACGTCACAAGTTTTTATGGCTGTTTTAAATCAATAATTACGAAGAAACCATAAAGCCTACAAGGTTACTACCAAAGGCACAAATCTAGGGAACTGCATGGAAAATGTTTTGTAGAAGAACAAAATAAACAGAAATGGAAATTTTCAACTTAAAAACACTAAAATGTATGAAATTTCACCAATTTTTTTGGTACTTTCAACATACTTTTCAATTTTAATGTATGATAATTAACTTTAATCGAGTTCTTTTTCAAAGAGCATTGATAGCTAAGACTTTAATCTTTCATTTAGTTTGTTGAAATCAGTAAACCACATTAAGATTAAAAAAATATAGCTAACCAAAGTTGGCAATACAAAAAAACATAAAATGTTGAATAACTCACTTAGCAGTCATTTCCGACCTCACTTAGCAGTCATTTCCGACCCTATGTTTCATGGGGATTTTTTTCATAACTTTAGGAGCCCTATCTACCCTGAAAATATGTAAAACCCGGAACCAAACACCCTGTATATTTATCACAGCACTGTGAAATAAACTATAACGCTCGCCATTGGCGTTGACGGCAACTCTGTAGCTCTTTACTCCTATGAGGAAATCCATAAGCAAACGTCAGACTGTGCGTGAAACATGGCGCACTTTGTACTATCCTTTCACTCCACCGAAAATTCCCATAAGAATCTGTCAAATATTGCTGGAAGAGCAAATTTTTCGTCAACGCCAATTACACACAGAGATGATTGTGGAACTCGGCGGAGAACGGCAGATGGACTCATTGAGTAAATCAGATTGTTTCGACTTGGTTTTAACAGGAAACATGGAGAGGTAAAAACTTCCACCTGACGCAGTTCCTTTTTTTTTTCCTTGAGTTGTTTTCCGTCGATCTTGTGTTCCGTACTGAGTATCAATGCTACCTACGCCAGGGAGGCAGCTCCCACACTGACCATACATATCAACCCATCAACACCAGCTTGCGCTGAGATTATAAAAGGTGCATGAGCATCCAGGCTAGAGGAGAGAGTAAGGAGGTGTAGTGGGAAGGCATTAGGCGACTAGTGAATACCACACTGTGCCAGGGGGTAACATACAGGGTGCGTGACGAATTTTTGCAGTAAATTTCAAATAGTAATTTATCATGCTTGTGCATCATGATTTAGATATATTTGGCAGCACTGGATAGCTTATACTGTTAGGTGTAAGATTTAAACAAACAATGTTGAGTAAACGTAAAGATGTCAAAACAAGAGAGCAATCTGTCAGCCGTTGTCGCTTTGTTGCGCGCCGGAGTATGCATGAAAGAAATAATTCGGTCGGTAAATGTGTCTGAAAGAACAGTGTATAATATTAAAAAAGGCTTGGGAAAGTGATAAGACGGAGCACCTGCTCATACTGCTAATAAAGCACAGAAATGGCTTACAGAAAATATTTCGTAAATTTGGGAGGAAGAAATTTGGCCCCCAAGCAGTCCCGATATCAATCCGTTGGATTATTTTGTATAGGGCGTCGTCCAACAGGATACCAATAGAACCCCTCACACCACACTTAAGTCGCTAAAAGCTAAAATCAAGGCAGTGATGACATCTATGGATCGAAACATTTTAAAACGTGCATACTGCAGTTTCCGGAAGCGTCTATTTACAGTTGTCGAAAGGGAAGGCAATTTTTTTTTAATAAATTTACTTACAACTTCCATATGTTGCGAAAGAAAATAAATCGCACAAAATTCATTGCTTGAATAACTAACTGGTGTATTTTTTCTCAAATATGCCATTTACTGCAAAAACTCGTCACGCACCCTGTATATGGATACATATTATAACACTACCGGTCAGCCTTTTGACGGTTTCCTCCTTACTATGAAAAAAAAAAGCACACACACACACACACACATATACACACTCACACACACACACACTCACACACACACACACACACACACACACACACACACACACACACACACACACACACACACACACACACACACACACACACACACACACACACACACACACACACACACACACACACACACACACACACACACACACACACACACACACACACACACACACACACACACACACACACACACACACACACACACACACACACACACACACACACACACACACACACACACACACACACACACACACACACACACACACACACACACACACACACACACACACACACACACACACACACACACACACACACACACACACACACACACATACACACACACACACACACACACATACACTTTGTTTATAAATGCTTAATCCTTTTTTTTTCTACTCCTCCATAGATTCGGAACCCAGCAGATGAAACTCACTGCATAAATTGTCCCAGAGGAACTATACCAGATATTTACCATGAAAACTGTCAGCACATTCCAGAGGACTATTTAAAACCGGAATCTTTATATGCCATAGGTGCTATGACTTTCAGTAGCCTGGGAATAGTGATGACACTTTTTGTGGTTGGAGTTTTCCTAAAGTAGTATCACTCTAGCAGTGTGACAAATATATATAAATTTTGCTTATTTTATTTTTAGGAACAACGATACACCTATAGTTCGAGCCTCTGGTCGCGAGCTAAGTTACGTTCTATTAAGTGGAATACTCCTGTGCTATGGTGTCACATATGCATTGGTTTTCAAACCGAATGATATTGTATGTGGCGTGCAAAGGTGTGTATGTGTATGTAATAGATCTTTCCGTTTTTCATACTTATGATTTTATTATGACTTTCCATCTTGATAAGACTTTATTTACTTCGCCTTTAAATGTAGACCTTCTCCATAAAAAATGAAAAGTCTCAAAAAATGATGTAGCTTACCTTATAATCAAAATAAGGAAAAATCATCAATCTCTATAGGAATAAAGACACCAAAATCATGTATTGGCATGAGCTGTTTTTTCATGTTTTGAAAAAAGAGTGTAATAATATTAGAGCGCCACCATCATCAGCCATATCGAAGTCGATGAGGAGTCCTGATGCAGAAGATAAATGGTTATTCAATGGAATATGGAAGAACAGCTCATGATCAAAAGTAGGAAAAATAATCGTTTCGAATTACCTTTCTTTTGGCCATGACTTGTTCTTTCATATTTTTTTTAGAAATTGTCATCATAAGAAGCAGTACCGTGATTCTGCGCAGAGCCTAATTAAGCACTTTTTGCAAAAAAAAATCGGCCATTTGTAATTGTTTTCAAAAAGTTGTCTTTGACATTTTTCAATAAATTTTAGCACATAACCGTCACTTTTGATTGAAATGACGTTTGACGCAAAGTTTTTAAGAAAAGTAAATTAATTTTGGGAAAAATATACAGGTTAATTGTATTTTAGTAATGTTGACAAAACAATTAAAAAAGTGTTAAAAACAGGAATATCTCAAAAAGCATACTTTCAATATTTATAATTTATTTTTTAAATAAACCTCTTGTCATTCCGTTTCGCACGCTGAACCGATCAAGGCGCACTGGTCTCCTTGTACGCAACTATTTTTTGTTATCTTTTAGGTTTTTCCCCACGCGAAGATTTTTTCTCACCTAAGTTAGTTGACATAGTGTTAAACTAGTGCGCGAGTGAGGAAGCCGTTAATCATACGCCGAGCGCATTGATTACGGTCCAGCTTTAACTCATCATAATCGTAACATCATTATCGTACCATCAACATCAGCAAAATCATCACCACTATTTGCACACGATAGCTAAGACGAAAGTGTGAAAAATTGCCTACCGAGTCGACCGAGGCACACCAGCTACGAGGCTATTGACCCAACCGGCGTTGGGTCAAACAATAAAAAAAGGCAGTAGGCTCTGTCCACGAACGGCTGGTTTTGTTTTCGCTGGCGATGATTTCATCTGTTTTCCGCATATTTTTTGATTGTACCAAGTCAAAAAAAATATTAGTTTTTGCGTGTGGATAAGTGTAAATTAAGATCTATCACGTTTCAAGAAGCTTTTTAGTGATATTGTAATTAACGTGAAAACTCTGATATAAGAATTTGTTTCGAGTAGCTGTGCTGCTTTGGTCGAGGCTTTGGTGTCACGTTGATCGTTTTTTCTTTTCGCTGGCTTTTTGGTGCGTTGCCTTCCTCACAAGAAGAGTTTTACCATAGAACTCTAAGACTAGTAGGTCCCGAAGAAACGTGCACAATTATTTGGCTCAGCTCTGGTACTATCTTCGGTCCCAAGCTAATCGATTCACCCCTCGAAACATAGGAAAATCCACTAACCCCTCATTTTATCTGTCAAACTTTCATAGCGAATCAAAACAAACTTAGTGTAGTACTAGAATTTTAACTAGAAAGGGGTACGAAATCGATTTCCTTGGGACCAATAGGCTAGTCAAGTAGTGAGCCAATTTAAAATCGTTAGTTTCGTATTGATTGTACCGCGTTTTTTTCCTTTCTTTGTGCTGGCGTTCTGCCTTTGCATGTGATTCAAAATGTTGTGTCCGGTTGTAAAAAAAACTCGGAGATTTTTTCGATCATTGCGAGTGAACAAACCGGTGCTTTTTTGGAGGCAGAGTATGGTGAGATCCATCTGATAATAAATCAATCATAAATGCATATATTCATATATCACTATATACGCGCCAGATTTCGAAATCTGGAAGTGTGTTTGCAGTACCATTACTCATATAATAACGGTAGTGTTTACATGCGGGGCTTATTGTATGTGAAAGTAACCTCGGAATGGACAAGAATTACCAGGCATTCTGAAATGGGTTGCTGAATCTGCAGTAGAGCAAAGAAAGGAAGGACATCTCTGCATCGAGAAGTGAATAAAAATCACTGTACTTTTCAGTGCCACCTGGCGGTGGAAAGTAAGCTTTTCACACGGAAAATATTGGTAGCATTATACCAATTTCAATGACAGGTACAAGTACAGCTTGGCTGCTTCATAGCGGTTTTATCAAAAATTAAATATTTTTCTACCACTACAATTCATTCGTATGGTAAGTGTACAGTAAAGTAGAACACAGAAAATTCCGACACGGGCTCTTGATCTGTATGTAAAAATAAAGTCGAACAAAATTCGCTGAATTCGCACAACGGTGTATTTGAACAATCTGTCAAATTGAAACATGCACACTTAGAAAAAATCACCGACTTCGGTAATTCATTTACCGAATTCTCAACAGCTGAACGGTCGGTAATGTTTTCGGTAATCGAGAACATTACCGAAAAATCTGTAAACTGGATCAGCAAAATTAACTGTCAAATTTACCGAACGATCGGTAACGTTTACCGATGTGCATTGCTTGATTTGTAGTCGACTTTACCGGAGAACTGTAATTTTGAGGACGATATGCAAATTGAAAATAACCGAGAGATCTGTAATTTTATAAAAAGGTAACCGACTCAACTGTAATTTGCTTTAATATTGTTTCAAGGTGGCGGTCACTGCAACCCATGTAAAAATTTGGCAGCTGTCATGATCAATAAGTTAGTGTTGCAAATTGCACCACCAATGAACAAACCCGTTTTCGACGGAAGGATTCGGCGCTACACTGAAAACAAGGAAGCTTTGGAAGAATATTCCAAATGCTGTTTTCAGATCGTCGTCAACGGGAATGGAACTTGGACCTTTTTATTTTTCACAAGCACGAACGCATATGGTGGATTTGACGTTTACCTAGACCATTACCGAACTCAGTAATGGAACGCTTTGTTTACCGAAACTTCAGTAAAATATTTCACCGAAGTCAGTGATGAAGCTGATTTACAGACCTGCCGGTAAAAATGTTTACCGTTTTCGGTAAATTAAAATGAAATTACCGAAATTCGGTCATTTCATTTACAGTTTTCAGCAATAAAGCGAGAAAATACCGAAATATCTGTAATTTTTAGCATTACCGATCTAAGACGGTAATTTTTTTTACCGAACTCAGGGTCTCTGTTTAAGTGTGTGCTTATGGTGGTAACCCTCAACCGGTATTGTCGTTCTACTTGGAAGCTGTAAATTAGAGTCGCGAAAAATGTTTGATTAGTTTTTTTTGATTTATACGTTCAACCTAACGTATAGTGCACTGTCATTGGGTGATTACAAACAACAACAAAAAATCGTTTTTCGCTAGTCTGATTTTCCAGCTTTCAAGTGGAACGACAATATTATACATGGATTCAATCCCGATCTCAAATGTCAAGTTGATTTGGTATCAACGATGGTGTTAATCAATTATTATTATTTAGCTTTATTTAGGAGGCTTTCAGCCTTAGGCTGGTTCGCCTCCAACGAGTCTTAATCAATATAATCATTAACAAGCATTCAGCAGATTTTCCAAACAGGGGCGGTATCGAGGGGCGCGCACTAGTCTTTCATTACTAGGCAGCCTACTGACCAAATATTAAAAATCGTGTCATTTCATTACTTCAAATACACTGTACATTAAATACTTTCAATACTGACAATATTTGATACTTAAATTATTTTCAATGCATTCAAATTATTTGCCATTACATTAATTATCGTTAAGGTTCAATTTACTTTGATGCTTTTTCGAAAAATTCAAGAGCAGTTTTTTTCAACGCATTAGTTCAGATTGCAAAATGCTCGCACTATTCGATTCCTTTTGCTATTCTACACAAAATGACGCGAGCTTTTAGCAATCTGAAATAATGCGTCGAAAAAACTGCTTTTGATTTTTTCGAAAATGCATCAAAGTAAATTGAACCTTAATTATATGTTGATTACTTTCAATACCGCTAAAAGTATTTAAAATCAAATTATACCCGGCCTCAAAGTATTTAAATCACTACGAGGTATTTTAAATATCACTCCTTGGGCGGTATTAAAGGTTAATCCGGGTTGGAGTTAACCGCCATTAATGTACCAAGTTTGAAATCCTGGTTACCAATTTGGAATCCGTTGGTTAGCCCTGGAAAAAAATCTTTGTTCCAAAAGTTTGATGATATCTTCATTTAGAATTTATGGAAAATTAATCATTGAAATTTTTTACAATGCGATTAATTATTACGTTTGAAAACGTACATTATCTATGTCCGACTTTTAACGAGGAGGTGGGAGGGGGTCTGGAAACTGTGACGATCCATACAAAATTTTATGGGTTGACAATCCAACAAACAATTCAAAATCACAAACAAGCATACATATTGAATAAATACTGTTTAACAGTGTACAATGCTGAATAAAACAGGGTGTTGAATTATGCACGGTAAGAAAAAAGTACCCAAAAGTAAGTTCTTTTCACTCATCTCGGCACTATAGTGCAGGAACTTAAAAGTAGGTAAAGCGGGCCAAAGTAGTTTTCATTCACTTGTGTACAATTCGTATGGAATTTTCCTCTAGCTTTCTACCCAAAAGTAAGTTAGTTGTACCCAAAACTAGGTAAATATGATTATACTCAACGTTGGGTTTCCACACTTTACTACCCCTGTTGGGTGGTTTTGCTCCTCCGTTTTAGTCAACATCAAAAGGAGAAAAGGAGACAAACTAGTCAAAAGTAGGTAAAAGTGAACTTGTCGTTGGGCTCTTTTTTCTTACCGTGTGTGCTGAAAAAGCTCATTGAGATCGATCGATGCGCCTTTATTCCGCTGTTTGCTCTGATATGATTAATTTACTTATTAAAAGCTTTATAAACGTTGACTGTCTTCTTGATTCAGAATCAGAAGTTTGATCTGATAACAAACTGAATAAGTGTAATTTGTGCACACATTG